ACCGTTTTGACAAGGATTGCTACCACATGCCTCTCTCGTCTGACAGTTTGGACCGGTGTATCCGCTTGGACAAACACAGCGAAATCCGCCATTCTCTCTTACACAAGTGCCGCCGTTCATGCAAGGTGAAGAAGCACAGGGATTTCCTGAAAGGAAAGAAGAGCAGGAAAGAATTTATATGCAATTCGAGATAGTTAAAAAATGAAATTAATTAATCGTGCATGCCCAAGAAATACAGTCAAATATTATATTTCATACATTTTGTCATTCATAATCAGTCAGCATTTACTTACTATCTTCACATCTATTGCCGGTAAAACCCGGTGGACATTGACAAACAAATCCACCGACACCGTTTGGAATGCACAGACCACCGTTTAAGCAGGGATTTGGATTGCACACATCGCCTAAAGAGAGAGGAATATTAGAACAAAAAACTTCATCGATGTTAATTGTAGAAATTTTCATTGTTGAATAGAAATATTTCAGTTGGAAGAAGAATGAATACATTCTTTTTCAATTCAGAAATGTCTGAGCTTAAGGAAATGCTAGGGTTGATATGAGAGTTAAGCAGTCAATATTTGCTCTATGTTATCGTAAAAAAAAGACATGCAAAATGATTGCGTGACAAGAAAAAACTTACGAGTTTCACAATTTATTCCTGTAAAACCTGACGGACAAACACACTGATAGTTGCCATTCACTGGACGACAAGTTCCTCCGTTCTGACATGGCTGTGAACCACAAACGTCTCCTGAAGAAGAACCACAGAAAACATGCAACAAGAGAAGATAAGAGGGTTTTCAAAAAAGACTGATGTCTGTTTTGTTAATAAAAGAGTGACTTTAAGAAAATTACTTTCTAAGCTTTAGGTATAGCATTTTGCAGGTTAAAGTAGGATAGAAAGTTCATATCAATTGTCCTACAAAACTAGGGACGAGACAAAACATAATCAAAAGAGTATGAAGTCATATACTTACGCGTTTCGCAATTAACACCGATAAATCCTGTTGGACATTCGCAGCTGTAAGAGCCACCTACGAGATTTGGACGACATCGTCCACCATTTTGACACGGATTTGGAATACATGGATCTTCTGCAGAAAAACATATCGAATAATTATCCGGATTGTGTTTACAGACTTCCGTTACGAGAATTTAGAGTAAGTATTAGGAAGCTGCTCGTCAATGGGACCTTGAGGACTTGAGTTAGAATATTAATTCCATTCAATCACCTAATATAGAACAAATTGCCTGTATGTCTGATCATACATCTCAAAATCTGCCCATATATGCCATGCCTGCAAGCTAGGTGTTGCAATAAATTTGATCACACCATTGGTCATACCGTGAAGAAGTCAAACTTTCGCTCAGCTGTTACACAATACAGATTCTTGCTTTTAAATCTCATATTAAGAGTAAAACTCGAAATGTCCAGTAAAGGTTCATACTCAGTTTTAGACGTCAGTTTTAGATGCATGTACTCAAGTCGCATCTAACAGTCTTATTAACGTAACAAATCAGTGCTATCTCATACCTTCATATTTACAATAAACTCAAAACAAACATACTCGTTTCACAGTTTCTTCCAGTATAACCAAATGGACAATTACACGAGTATGTATCCAAGCCATACGGACTGCAAGTTCCTCCGTTCAAGCAGGGATTCGGTTCACATACTTTTCCTGCAAATATCAGTGCAAAATTAGCGACTTTCTCTCGTTTTTAAACAAAGTAGAGAAAGACGTTTATTGAGAAACGACGAGATATTTCAGTAATTAAGTTTTTTGAGTTGCTAACAGTAACAGAACACCATATAAGCTGTGTACTCTTTTTATTGATTTGGACATGTACTAATCGTCCTAATTCATGTCTCTCTCTACTTCCTAGTAAATTTTTTTGGTACGCACTAAATTCACATCGTTGTCCTTGATATTGATCTGGACATCGACAGAAAAATACACCGTTTGGACGAGGTTCACACGTGCCACCGTTCGTGCATGGGTTTGGCTGACACACCATTCCTGTCGTTTGCAAACACATCATGATGTCAAGCGCAAAGCATTCTGATTCTATTGAAAACTCTTACTTTCACATCGACTGCCATAAAAGCCTAATGGACATTCACAAAGAAATCCACCGTTGCTATTAATGCATTGTCCTCCGTTCAAGCAGGGTCCGCTGGCACATGGATCTCCTAAGGGAAAAAAGGGCTAACAGTCAAAACAAAATGTCAAGCGGCGCCACACTTATGAGAATCAGCTATGATGAAAGCTAGAAAGTGAATGCATTAGCATACATACGTTTCTCGCAATTGATGCCCGAGAAACCAGAAGGACAAATACATTGATACCCATTTCCATTCACCGGTCGACAGGTACCGCCATTCTGGCAAGGATTACTGCCACATGCTTCTCTCGTTTGACAGTTAGGTCCAGTATAGCCACTTGGACATATACATCTATAGCCTCCATTTTCTCCCACACACGAACCGCCATTCATGCAAGGTCGAGAGAAGCAAGGATCTCCTGTGAGAAAAAAAGAAGCAAGAACTAGAGACTAGCTATACTTCACAAAGAGTGGTGAGTTGACTGATTGAAACGTCGGTTTGAGAAAGTTAGAACACATACAAAATTCTGACCTGTAAACTAAACTATCTTTTACACAGAGTACAGTAACAAATGTAAACATGTTTTGTCACAGGTTTCATCGATCAAGTGATCAGAGGCAAAGTATTTAGAAATACATTCATCTTTTAGAACGAATTATTTTTTAATCCGAGCACATAACAAAAAAATAATTAGAGATCTTTCAGTTGTTGTATATCTCTTCACAAAAACCTGTACGGGGCAACGAGCGGTTGACTTAAAAGGGAAAAGTATTTAGAAAGAAGAAAAAATAATTCTGATGAAAAGTGATGAATATCTTTCGTTTCACTCAGTTGACTCCAAAAGTAGATTATGAGGTAGCATGCGCTTAAAAGTATGTAGAGAAGAAGTTTTCTTCTTTATGGCATGCAGACAGACTATTTACTTGATTAGCTTTTACTTACGATCTTCACAACGATTTCCTGTGAATCCTACAGGACACTGACAAACGAAACCACCAGGTCCGTTCGCTACACATTGTCCTCCATTTAAACAAGGATTTGGATTACAAACGTCTCCTAAAAAGAGAGAAAAGCTATTAACGGGTTGCATTATTACTCTTAAAGTAGCTCAAAATATCTGGTGTAGAGCCATGAATAACAAACCTGTCTTGACGTATATTTAGAACAAAACATTTTTATAGATTAGCTTATAGGGTGCAAGAAAACGATATCTTATAGGTCTTTAATCTGCAGTAAACATTATACTATTAACGTTTATCTGAACTAGAAGCCACCTGAGGTATCAAAGGGAGTGGAAAAACATGGAATAACTTAAGCCTTCCCCCCCACCCCCCTCAGACATGGTGATTTTCGGTCAAAAAATCGGTTTTGAGATACGCACATGGAAAGATAGGCTGAAGTGTCTACTTCCAGAATCTGTATTGCTTTTGGTTACAAAACTGTTTTTCGTGCATTTTGAGCAAGTTTTCTAAGAGCCTCGAAAAACCGGGTCTTCAAATAATAGTTTTTTCCTGGATAGTAATGCAATTAAAAATTTTTTGAATACACAGCTTTGTAGAGCAAACGTTTCTGATCGAAATAAGATCAAGTTACAGGCATTTTCCTAGAAGTCCTAAAATCGAGTATTTCATACAGCGTTCAATACAGCGTTTTCACCATATAAGAGTTACACCTGCAGTACGTCCCAAGATTTTTAATAGCGGTTTGTCATAGAGAGTTCATTCTTTTTTGTTTAAAAGAGGAAAAGAAACTACATGGACTGACCGGCGCCGATTTTTGAATTAGGTCTTAGTTTTCTGTCAAACTGAGGAGTTTTAGAAAATCCGGGAGGATCTTTTGGGTTCTGGAGGTTGTTGGTTGCCTTGAAAACCAATAAAGGCTTAATTGAAAAAATCGGCGCCGGTCAGTCCATGTAGTTAGGTATCTAGTTTAAAATAGAACAAACCCAAACTCTCCAGCGTGAACTATATTTTCTGAGGGAGGGGGGTCTCTTAATGTGCTTTAGAGCTTGATACTTATTATCTAAATGCTTGCATGAGTTTTGTCTAAAGAAAAACAATTTATTATAATTCGAAACATTCAGGACATTTTATTTTTGGTTATTCGCTATAAAATTCTCAAAGTTTGTCATACATCATCCCAATATACGAGGCAAATAGAGTAAGTATTTTTTCAAAAATTTGCTTTTTAAAAGTAGAACGACCACTTCTGATAGGAAATAACCTTATTAGCAAGGATGGGGGTGAACATATATAAAAGTTAACATAAATATTATATCCAAGAATTATAATACTAGTAGTTGAGGCCTACATCACGAGCGGATAAGAAACGTCAGGATATTTGAAGAAACTGGACAATATCCAAATAAAGAGAATGTTGTGCAAGGATAATGCAGTGCAGTTTAGAAATTTATCAAACAAACGTTTCAACCAGAATACACATACTTATTTCACAGTTGATGCCCGAGAAACCAGTAGGACACACACATCGGTAACCATTTCCATTCAATGGTTGGCAAGTTCCACCGTTTTGACAAGGATTACTACCGCATGCTTCTCTTGTCTGACAGTTCGGACCGGTGTATCCGCTTGGACAAACACAGCGAAATCCGCCATTCTCTCTTACACAAGTGCCGCCGTTCATGCAAGGTTGAGAAGAACAAGGATCTCCTGAGAATAGAAAGTAACGATCATGCAATATGAGAAGATAGAAAATAGAATTTAAGTATTTCTTCTATAAATGATACAGGCACATAGTTTCTNAAGGATTACTACCGCATGCTTCTCTTGTCTGACAGTTCGGACCGGTGTATCCGCTTGGACAAACACAGCGAAATCCGCCATTCTCTCTTACACAAGTGCCGCCGTTCATGCAAGGTTGAGAAGAACAAGGATCTCCTGAGAATAGAAAGTAACGATCATGCAATATGAGAAGATAGAAAATAGAATTTAAGTATTTCTTCTATAAATGATACAGGCACATAGTTTCTTATTCTTAATGATCAAATCTTGTAATTTTGACAGAATACAATTTTTTTATTGATATGCACGAGGGTTGGTTTCTTCAGTCTATGAAGGCCATCTAACTTCAAAGCGGAGTCTAGTTTGGATCAGGCTTGGCAACTCCGCTGACTTTCAACTCCAACTCCGTTTTCAAATTTCCAACTCGAACTCGAACTCCGCTTAACATTTTTCAACTCCAACTCCCTCAACAAAAATCTCAACTCCCGTTCAACTCCGGTTGCTTCACTTTTGTAAGGAAGATTTTTCGGTTTTTAGCAGGATTCCGGACGTTTATGAGCTTTTTCCGGCAGGAAAGCGCAAAGAACTTTCGAATTCACTCGTGAATACAGCCACTCAATCGTTTAGAAGATCAGTTTACAACTATTGAATATTTTCAAAAATGCAAAACGGTGTTGAGAATAAAAATTCAAAAACTCAACTCCAACTCCACCAAAAAAATCCTCAACTCCGCAGTTGAAGTTGCCCAGCCCTGGTTTAGATATTATTCGAAATCGATGTGTTAAGTTCAACTTACTATCTTCGCAACATTGTCCGGTGAATGGAGGGACACATCGACACACAAAGCCACCTATACCATTTGGCATGCATTGACCTCCATTGAGGCAAGGATTGGGAGTACAAGGATCCCCTATAGGATAACAGAATTCAAGCAAGAATAGTTTTTGAAAAGTTGGAGTTAGCAAAATTATAATATAAATTATTATTTTTTATTTTTCTACTTTATCAAAAATAAGCAACGGTGCTATTCCATTTATCCTTAACCTTCAGACAAACACAACGCTGCAGTAGAACCTTTACTCGGATTAAGCTTAAAGGTTGACCAGAAGTAGAAATTCAGAAAATACTTAAGTATTATGTGAAAAATGTATCAAAGTCTATTAGTAATGGTAAGACATAGTAGGACGAAGAAGCATACTTATTTCACAGTTTATGCCCGAGAAACCAGCAGGGCACACACATCGGTAACCATTTCCATTCAATGGTTGGCAAGTTCCACCGTTTTGACAAGGATTGCTACCACATGCCTCTCTCGTCTGACAGTTTGGACCGGTGTATCCGCTTGGACAAACACAGCGAAATCCGCCATTCTCTCTTACACAAGTGCCGCCGTTCATGCAAGGTTGAGAAGAACAAGGATCTCCTAGGGAGCAAAAGAAGTAAGCAAAAGAAAAGTGCAGATTAAAAGAATATAAATATCTCTCTTACTTACTGTCTTCGCATCTGTTTCCTAAGTAACCAGGAGGACATCGACAAACGACACCACCAAAACCATTCGGTTCACACTGTCCGCCGTTTAAACAAGGGTTTGGATTGCACACATCTCCTGCAAACATTATAATATCTTAGCTCATGTTCTTCTTGTTGAATATATTATTAATTACAAAATAGAGCCTAAACCTATGAATGTAGACATCCGGACGAAGCTGATGATAGACGTTGTTTAAAGAATATTTTCCACTGTATATTGAGAAGACTATTGAGATCCTAGGGAGGCACATGCTCTATTCTAGATAATAATACTTTTGAATGTTCACATAAGGCAGTGGGATCCTCTTTTAAGTATTTTCAATTCCTCGCTTTCTTCTGATAAAATATGAGATCTCGTTCTGAAACTTTTGAATTAGTATTACTACGGATAACTCGAATTACGTTGAAATACTTCTTTGACCTGCAGACTAAATGAATCTCCGATGAACTTTATTTGCCTTGAAACGCCAAAACTTAGATTCATTTTCATTATAACAAATGCTCTGAAAATTTACAGAAGAAAGCCAAACATTTTTTTCCACATCACAGCGCAACGAATTCGTTTTTATTATTGTTATTGGGTTGTAAGAAATACGTACGAGTTTCACACATAGCTCCAGTATATCCTGATGGACATTCACATCTGAAATTTCCATTCGTAGGAACACAACGACCTCCGTTTTGACAAGGATTAGGATTACAGACATCTCTCGTTTGACAATTAGGTCCAGTATAACCATTCGGACAAACACACCGGTATCCTCCATTGTCTCTTACACACGAACCCCCATTCATGCAAGGTAGAGAATAACAAGGATCTCCTGAGAAATAAGAAACGAGAAAGTGTCAAGAATAAGATAAAGATTTAAGGAATTCTAACTTACTATCTTCACACCGTTGACCAGTAAATGGTTGAATACACTGACATACAAAGCCACCTATACCAGTTGGCATGCATATCCCTCCGTTGAGACACGGATTAGGATTACATGCGTCACCTTTTCTCGCAGAAGAAGAGAAAAGTTGTTAAAAGATGAATATAGAAAGCAGAGTGAACCAGATATAGTAGGCAGATATATAAGTTTGGTGATTAAGTATCACATTTCGGCTTTGGTATGGCTCCAAGTTTTGTTCTCGATAGTCTAATGTGAAGCTGCTATCAGGCTCTAAGTAGTGAGCAATATTGCTTTTTTCAGATGGTTATCCTAATATATTTGGGGAAAGCACTAGCAAACGTAAAATTATTGAGTTTTCTCAGGACAGAAAGATGTGTGATTAGTGGAAGGCTATTTAAATCAGCTGTAGCTCTTCTACAGTAACATAGTTGAGATAATATACTAGAGATTGATACGTACGAGTTTCACACATAGCTCCAGTATATCCTGATGGACATTCACATCTGAAATTTCCATTCGTAGGAACACAACGACCTCCGTTTTGACAAGGATTAGGATTACAGACATCTCTCGTTTGACAATTAGGTCCAGTATAACCATTCGGACAAACACACCGGTATCCTCCATTGTCTCTTACACACGAACCCCCATTCATGCAAGGTAGAGAATAACAAGGATCTCCTGAGAAATAAGAAAAGAATTTGTGAGATTTCGCATTTGTTTTCTTTAGAACCAGTCCAAGATAAGACATGCAGAAGTATGAAACGTCTCGCAATAAAGAGTGCATCCTACTGAACATTTTCAGATGTTCTCCCGTTGTACATAATCTTTTATTTAGAAAACGTAGCGACAGTATACTCATATACCTTTTGAAATTTATCTGAAGAAGTAGTATTTATATCACTGTCATATTTTCTGAACAAAAGATTATGTGCAGCGTGGAAATATCTCACAGCATTCGTTAGGTTTTAGTGAGGTTACACGGCTAAGCCGTCATTCTACGCTACTTACTGTCTTCGCACCGCTGTCCACTAAATCCCGGTTGACATTGACACACAAAACCACCTATACCATTTGGCTGGCATATCCCTCCGTTGAGACACGGATTAGGATTACATACTTCTCCTGCGAAGAAAAGAAGCAAAAAAAAGATAGAATAGCGAGCATCTTTAAAGCAAGAATGTAGAATTGTTGAGAGGCAAAGAATGTGTGTAGCTTAAACGCCATCAGTTATAACTGGAAGAAAGCATCGATCTCTCACGCGCAGCGAAAGGTAGTTTCAGAATATGTCTCTCATTCTATACAACTTCTTCCTTTGTGAACTTACGAATTTGACAGTTCAATCCCGAGAACCCTTCTGGACAAGAACAAACGTAACCGCCCAATCCGTTTTGCATACAATATCCATTGTTTTGACATGGATTTGAAAGACAAGGATCAACTCCTAGAAAAAAATTATAATTTCATCCATTAACGTTCACATCTACATTTGATAGGTAAAAAGGTAATCTTTATGTTCTTGCTTCTGAACAGCAATTTTCAATACAAAGCGTCTAAAAGCGAAAGTTGAAATGTAGTTTGCGTAGTAGTGACTCATATTTCTTGAATACATAAAACGTTGAGATGTGTGGACAAAATGTCTAAAGACGAATTGACGAATCGTAATTTTTAAGTGTAAAAATGATGCAACAATTCGCGTTTTACCCTTATTTTGCGGATCCGTACCAAATTGATGCGAACTGTATCGAATTCGTACGGATACTCTTAAAAACTTTTACGAATTCTTCTTGCAAATTCGTAAACAGAGAATAGATCAAACACGGTGCTGATCAATTCGCAAATAATTCGTAAAGTTAGTTTACGAATTCGTGTTCACTGTTTTAGGAACTAGATTGATTTGTTGCGAATCGATGTGTACGCTTATTAGGCTACGTAGGGACAGGACACCTTTCTCTGAGGTTAAAAATAGATAAATTCCTCTCTTCTTATCGATTCGCATACTTCTCCTATAAATTCGCCGTTATGCTTACGAATTCGTAAAATATAGCATGTTGTGTAAATACTCACAGCCATCCTCACTGCCTCTCCCCCCCGCTCGGCAGATGCACACAAAAGGGAGAAAGATTCCCCTCTGTTTTGTTTCGCACAGATACATGTATTAATATAGTCTATTGTCACATTTTTTGATTAATTCATTCAACTGATCAATTCGTATTCTACGAATTCGTAAAA